TAACTGTGTTTCTAGATCACGCTCATTTCAGGTAAATTTACATGCAGTGTGAAGATACCAGCATAATAAAGATCGCTAGCATTAGCATGCTAACACAACAATGCAGCGCAAGTTGTTTTGGTTTCATGCTGGTGCTCAAGGGCGACATCTGCTGGATCAAAAATGTTGCATATAAAGCCTTTAAAGCTTTATCCATGTTTCAGCCGGGCCTTTAAACATTTATAATCAACGACACTCAGAGTGTGAACACATTTATTGTATTTCTCTCTAAAAAAACGTGCAGATATTTGAGTGACAAAACGGCTCGTTGGTTTCCTCAACAGATGATTTTTTAAAGTTTCAAACACACTGGCCCACATTCGTTAGCAGCATGTCGCAGCCGACTCGTTAAAGATTTAAAGAGCGGCTCGTCTTGCTGTCTCTTTGATAAATATCTCGTGTGTGACTTCTTGTGTTCGGCCTCGGAAGTGAAACCAGCAAATCGACTTCTCGGCAGAATCCCTCTGCCTCCAGAAAATCACTTAGAGTCGCTCTCTCTCTCTTCTGAGAGCTGCACCGCTCTCCTCACATGAACTCTCTGCGCTCTCTGATGAAGAAAACATATCTCTGGGCTCGTCCTACTTTACTCCTGCAGATCATTTCCTTTAGCCACTGTGACTTCTAGGTTCAGGTGTCTTCATCGTTTCTAACAGAATCTCTTCTGAATAGAGACATGTGCATGTAGAGGTGATGTTAAAATACAGAGTTTCATTGTGTGTAAAAAGACTGAACTGTCTCCGTCCTCTCAGTGGGAATAAGGAGCAGTCAGAGTGCTGGTGCAGAGATCGATGGGGCTCTTTTGCATCAAAGTAAAAACTGATTTCAAATTAATTCAAGCTGAACAATAGAAACTCCTCTGCACACTGAGCTGTTTGACCTGGAATGTTTTTCTCATCACAGTTTGTCTGACACTTTTATGTTATTGTAAAAAAAAAACCTTGTTGAGTCACCTACTTTTAACAGAGGCCACAAAAAATCACAATATTCACCATTAACTCATTGGTTATTAGAATGCTAATTAGTTGCATACTGGCTGCTTATTAGTCATTAGGCCTTTTCGGACTGCAGGAACTTCGTCATAGTTCTAGGAACTTTTGGAGCCCCTCCCCCTTTTTTATTTATTCCACACCACAGGAACTATGAGCTTAGAACCCCGTTTAGAGGAACCTTTTTAGCCCCTGGGTCAGATGCTCTCCCAGCTCCATGGCGGTGTGAATGCAGACGGAAAAAAGTCCCCATGGTGAGTAGTTCTCAGGGAACTCCCTGGTGGATAGTTCCTCTTCAAAAAGGTCCCAGAACTGTTTAGTCCGAAAACACAACCATCCACCCGTGAGTTCTCTGAGAACTACTTACCGTGGGGACTTTGTTTCTGTCTGAAACACATCACCGTGGTACCTACTCTTAAGCATGACCTAAAAAGGTTCCTCTAGACGGGGTTCTAGGAACTAAAATAGTTCATAGTTCCTGCGGTGCAGAATCAATTAAAAAAGGGGGAGGGGCTCCAACAGTTCCTGGAACTATGAAAAGTTCCTGCGGTCAGATAACGCTTCTACCTCATTCTACATGACCATAGTCTAGAGCTAATGGGCCATTAACTAAGAGGATGAAGAGTTTGGGCTGCACGTCCGTCTTGTCTCTATGACAGCAGTCTCCATGACAGCAGTCTCCATGACAACAGTCTCCATGACAACAGTCCACTGTATGACCAACACTGCTCTGTCGCTTTTTTACTGTTTTCAATTCATTCGATAGTTTTTATTCCCTCACTGTGAGGATCAATCGGAGGACGCTTGCCCTCCTACTTTGTCTGTACTTCCAGAGAGGGGGCGTGGTCAGACACCGCTCATTTACATATTTAAAGGTACAGACACAGAAACAGCCTGTTCTGAGCAGGGTTGAAATAGAGGGGTTTATAGACATGATCAAATACAGGATCAGAGTGGATTTAGAACAAGAAACTTCACACACATGTTTTGAGGAGCTCTGAGACTTATTTACACTGAAGAGGAGGAGGATATGTCACTTTAACATACGGGACATGCTTTAGGTGTGCAATACAGATTCACATATCAGGTGGAACTCTATTGCTCCTGGATTAGAGAGGATTTCAACATATTGCATGTCTTATACTTCTTTATTTATATATGTCATACGTCTTATTTTGAATCTTTTTTGCTTCACTGCCTTCTCTAAGGCCCGTCAGAGGGCAGAGGTTATTACCTCGGCGCCCTCACATACTGTAGCTGGGGTTATGCCTCGTTGACTTTCAGAAGAAGGAGAGAAAGTTCTTGGTGCAGGAAGGGTCCAGCTCCATTCACTGACATGAAGTCATGGGTCAGAGCTTTCAGATTCTGCAGCTCATATATCAACCAGGCCTCCTTTGATTGTCAGATTTTTATCCTACTGAGTTCAGACATAAGAAAACTTAAGATGATGAGTTTTCTGCGCCATCACTGGCAGCCGCTTTAAAAGACTTCTGAACTTTTCCCGACTGCACACCTGACGTTGCTTTTTACAGACTCTTGACCTGCTTTTATCAAGGAACAACTCGGCCTCTTCTCATGCTCCAGTTCCGCCTGCTGCTGCTACTACAAGTCGTGTGCTTCATGCGAGGTTTGGTGTCATCTTCAGGGGCAGTTCGCTCCTCAAACACGCTCATAGTGATAAAGAATTCATTTGAGTCTCGTCTCTGCGGCCTGATTTCTGTACTTCTACCATCTTTCAAGGTTTTGAGGGTAACTTCTGTTTTAAACTTATGACCTCTGTTTTGATTTTGATTTTTTTTAAATGAATGACAAACGTGCACAAAAAAACGTTGCAATGAGTCCAGTCGATTGCTCTAGTCTAGTCTAACCCCTTTTTTTTGGCTCAGATTGGGATTCAAGATTTTTTTTTTTTTTTTAATCCAGCCTGGAGACCAGTAACAAGTAGCGGCATCTGTTTGACATCACTGCACTTTGACCTTTTGGACATTTCAGGAAGTTGATTTTAACCCTCGGCTTCAAACGGCTTCTTCTACCTTTTAATTTGTATCCATTTAGATATGATGAATTATTTTACTACATTTAAAGCTGTATTTTAATGCACCATATTGTTTCTACCTTTTTAACTCTTCTTACTGTAATGACCTTTCATCAGTCATTCCATGTTTTTTATTTAGAGTTTGTTGTCCGTCTTAAATTGCTTCTTTAATTAGACTTCATATCAGGGCCTGACCGATATCAGATTTTCTGGGCCGATATTGATATATCGGCCGATATCTTAGATACTTAATACTTCAGACTTTATTGTCCCAATGGGGAAATTCTTTTTCACAGCATCGTTACTGTCCAAACAGACAATCCCCACCAAAGAACATACATACATAAAACACAGAGTATAGTGTTCAGTGGACGTGTGATATCCTGTTCTATTGAGGTTGCAGTGAGTGAGAAGATCTATCTTCGATCTGTAGAGATAAATACAGAAATACACAATTATCGCGTTTATCCCTAAAATGCAGTTATCAAACAGTTGTGGAAAATATTTATAATGTAGACAAGATGGTCACTCAACTGGAGAATAACTGTGCATGTGTGTGTGTCACCGCCTGACACTCTGCAGAGTGATGATGTTTGTTGTAAACCATATAGCGCCCTCTGCTGGTGGAAGAGAACTACTAGTGTAATACAATATAACTCAAATTCTATAATTCACTTAGCAGACGCTTTTATCCAAAGCGACGTACATCAGAGAGTAAGAACAACACTAAGCCATTCATACACCGCCACCGAAGCAGCGGGAGCAATGCGGGGTTGTCTTGTCCAAGGCCACATGTTGTTCAGCGGGGATTGAACCCTCGACCTTCCGGTTGAGAGGCGTCGCCTCTACCAACTGAGCCACAGCCGCCCAACTGAAATGTATTTGACTGGTGAATAAATCTAGAAATATCAGCGCATATCTGCCATAAAATTAGCCGACACTGATAGTCACTGGATATGCTGATATCGGCCGATATTATCAGCTGGCTGATTTATCAGTCGGGCTCTAGTTAATATCTTTGTAAATGCAGAGTGTCTCAGTGGCTGTTGCTGACTCATTGCAAACATTCATTCTCATTCAACTCACTTAATGTGCATCATTGTTAAATCTCAGTATCTGAATCCGCCTCCTCTTGTGTCATGCAGCAGTTTATCCTTTTGGACTACTTCCAAGGAGTGACTCATCGATTCATTTTTGACCTATTAGGATCCTGTTTGTTTGTCAATCGAGCGTCTGTTTACGATAAGAGTGGATGAAAAGCATCATGGGGGATTTTACTCTTAGTTATCTGTAGCTTCGGGGGGTCCTCTAAGCCCCTGCAGGGGGCTCGGACAAACTGGTGCATCATCATGTTTTATTACTGTGGTGTTCAGTCAGTCAGTCAGTCAGTCAGTCAGTCAGTCAGTTTGTGTGCTTCTCTAATCTCAGCACAAACACTTTCTTCTTCTTCTCCCTGCATTGGATCAACCTCTTCTATTCACTTTGTATTTCTGTGACGTACCGACTCAAAGCCAGGTGTGAGTGCATCCTGTCCTGCAGCACTGACTGATGTGGACTGGCAGGTAGTGCTGCATTATGTTTTTTTTTTCCTTCTTGGAGATGACATCATCCCCGTGCTTGTGGTGACATTGCATCGTGTGCTAGGCGCCTGGCGTTAGCCTCTGTGAAGGTGACTGCGTGCAAAGGGAGCAGGCACAGTGTGGATTTAATTTATTGCATTAATTTCTGCTATGTAGCAAGTCACCAGCTGGTGGGGGAATAGCTGCGACACTGGTGCTGCTGGTGGGGTGGGGGAGTAGGGGGGGTCACAAATGTGCATGCGTTTGAAAGAGCAAGGGGGCGTGTCCAAGGGGAGGGAACAAGGGGTATTGTCCTGCCTCCTTGCCCTCCGCAGGCAACTGAGGATTTCATTTGACAGCTTCAAGGTGGAACGTGGAAAGACCAAAACAAGAACACCAGGCCCCCTCTCTTTATTTCTTATTTTTTACCCCCTCCTTCCTTTTCTGTGAGGGGGAGAGGGAAGCAGTCTCATCGCACTGTGGTGGCTGGGTTTGGCTCTTTGTCAGTGCAGGGAGGGGGGCGGCAGGCAGGCAGCGTGAATGCATATCATGACCACAATAGAGCAAACGAGCACAGTTCAGCCATGAAAGCCCAGCGGGAGAGGCTGAGAATTCCAGGGCTGACGCTAGAGTGAGTATTTTTTTTCCCTCCTGTTCCTCCCTGCAGCTCCATCTGTCTCTGTGTCATATTTGTTGCTGTCTTTCTCTGTTGCTCTCTCAGCTCTCTGTGCAGCGTTAGCATTAGCAGCAGCAGCATCTGCAGCAGGAAGTCTTAACGTCAAATCCTCCACGGCTAGGCAACAGTCGCTCACTGCCTGTGTGTGCGAGAGTGTGTGTGTAATGTGTATGTTTACGCATTTATGTTTTCATGCACGTGTGTGTGATGAGAGGACAGATAAGAAATTGCTGCAACATGCTTTATTTGTTGGTGTGACGGATGTACAGGAAACACACACACACACACAGTCATAACACACCTATAGGACGAGTGTGTTCTGGATGTGATCAATCAGCAGTGAGTCACTGTGTGTTTACATGCTCGCGTCTTCCTTCTATCACAGCCGTTTTTGTTTGACACATTTCATTTTTTTTAGGTCACTGAGGCATTTGTCATGGTCCCCTCTCCGTTTGCGGCTTAAAAAATCGAGAGTGCATAATTGGGCTCTATTAAAAATGCTTCTAAAACAACTCAGACGCAGATTGTATGAAACGTGTTTACAGATAAATGCTCAACGTTTATTTTTTTGTTTTTCCAACAAATGCATGAAAAGACCGAAAGCAGCATCTTGCTTCCTTCCTCTTCCCGAGTGTGTGTCTCTGTTGTGTCGCCACGAAGCCCACGGGTTTCCTTCTGAAGACGTTAATCTTTAAAAAATGGGTCACAAAAAAAATTCAAATATACTCCCACTTCAAAAAAAGAGCGACAATTTAAAAGCAAATGTTGCCCAAACAAAATGGGGTATCCGCTCCGTTCATCAGCTGATAATTAAACATTTAAGTGATTAAAATCGTTCTCATCGAGGAATTTTGATCTTTATAACGGGCGATAAATGTGGAGAAAGGGTCGTCCCGATGCCAGAATTGTAAATGTATATCTAATTAGAAACCATGGCAACACAAGTCTCCAGTGTTGGGTCACTTCCTGTTTCTTAATGCCTAAAAAATTGCAAACAAACTCTTGCACACCGCCCAAGTTTCACAATAACGTCGGCACTTGCAATTTCGTCGGCGTCACCTCTTCCGCTCTCCGTCTGTTTGAAAGACATAAAAGTAACTTTTGCATCTTCATGAGACGCCGAATGGACTCGAGGAATGTCGGCATTTGCCTTCTCTCTCTCTCTCTCGCACTTTTTAGAGTGGAGTCCCGCACAGCGCTGTAACGGGGCTCCGCCTTCTTCTGTCTTAGTGCATTCCGCAACAGCTTCATTTTGTTGCCATCGTCTGTTGTGTCACATGGCGTTATGCAAACAATAGGAGCTCCGAATACAAACACACACATGGCGGTGCAGAGACGGGATCATCCCCCCCCAACCCCCACCCCTTCCCCGTCCCACCGTTATGCCTCTGAAGGCGAAACACAATCAAGGCGTTGGTCTCAATCGAGCCTAAAATGGGCGGTCTGAATATCGTGCTCCTCTCGCCGTACCTTTTCTACTCTGATAATAATAATTATTATTTAAAGCTAAACTTCTTAAAAACACAACGTTTGAGGAAAATCTATTTGACACATATTAAGATTTCATATTTTGACCAATTTCCTTCTGGTTAACTTGGAGGAGGCGGAGCTTGTAACCTATACTGCAACCATTCAGTAGGGGGAGCTCCGACCGTTTTGGCTTCACCTTTGGGGAGCTGTCTGTCGTCCATCTTTTTATACAGTCTATGGCTGTTTTAAAAACCACCTACGAGGAGTTCATACTGATTTGGACAAAAAAAAAAAAAACATGCATCATACTAGTCTCCCTTGTGTACTGTTTCCCACAATGCAAAGTGCCAGGTCAGAGATTAAAAATGGCGGACAGCAACGTCCATCGCAACAGATGAAGCACGTCTACTTCATGATTCACTTTAAGGTCAAAGTGTTTGTAGCTTGATGGTAGGTTCAGTGAGTTTTGGTCTTTTCTTGTTAAAAAAAAAAAAGAAAAAAAAGAATCTCTCCGACTCGTCCTCTAAAGAACGTTCTCTGGAGCGCCACTGCAGTAAAAGTTACTCACCTCTACATGACCTGACGCTCTGCAGTGCCACTTTAATCCGTGACATCATGCAGGTAAAAAAAAAAAAAAAAAAGTCCCTTGGTGTGAGGAAACTTGCTAATCTTACCACAAGAACCCAGCGTAGATTGTGAAATTAGGTTAATCTGTAACTCTGCCGGATAATCTGCAGCTCACGTCTTTAAAAACGGAGTCGCAAATGAAAAAACTGCGTATTGAAGTAGGACGACCCTCAAAATTAAAGCAAACGATGCACAACCATGCAAATGCCTCGGAAGCTGTTTCGGCTTTATTTAGTGTTTCTGACAGGTGTTGTTCCTCTTCATGATGCTGCTGTCTTCATCAGGGGGAATGTGTCAGAGCTGCAGGTGTGGGTGGAGGAGGGTGGTATGGGGGGGGGGTGTTTCTGTCTGTGTGTGATAAAAAAACAACAACTATTCACTCCACTCCATTTAACTTCCAGCCTCACTCCTCGAAGCTTGAGCCCCACTCCCACTAGCCCCTGCAGCCCGTGCAGCCCTCTGCACGCCTTTCATTTCTGGAGGTAAGCGACGGCTTCTTCAGCCTGTTTTGTATTTTTATTTAATTGTATTTAGTTTCGGGCCTGTTGGCGCGTGTTTGAGCCCGTCTCATCTCCATTTGGCCTTAGCTCACAGTGTTCAGTCCGCCCTCCTAAAAAAAATCATGTGTGACATTGAAAGAAGAGGACACGGTGCTTATATAACGTGGATGGTGTCACCCCCCCTTCCTCCCCCCATCATCTTGCCCCTCTTTCTCCGCTCCCAGCTTTATGCTCCTCTTTCATGTGCTAAGTAGGATTTGTGGCGTTTGCTCTACATCAAAGTGAAGACGGCTCTGGATGCGTCTGGATTGATTCATTTAGTATTCAAAAAACAGACGTTTTGGATTCATCTCTAATGGTTTCCAATCTGAGCTTTAAATCTTAGCGTTTTGAAAATCTGTGCGCTTTTTGAGTTTACAGATTATTTCATGAACATCGAGACTTCTATCCTCTCGTCTGCGGGCTTGATGTCCGAGATAACACCCGGCCCCTCTCCTCGAACTTGCTCGCCGAGAAGCTGTGAAGCTGTGAAGCTGTTTTGTTCCTAGTTGAGCTTCGTTTCAGTTTTCACTCAGAGGTCGTGGAGGTTGAAGCCATCTCTTTGCTGCTAACTGGTGTTTATGTAATTACTGTACGGCCGGGCGAGAGGATAAAAAGGGACCCTGTAACCTTTTTGAAAAACAGGACCGAGTGAAGTCTTTTCTTTTGCACATTAATTGTGTTTGTGGGATCAGAGGTAGTGCCAGTTATGATGCGTTTAGATGTTGTTGTTGTTTTTTCGAAAAAATTGACAAGGCCATCTAACTCTCCATGACACACCTCCACATCCACACAGATATAAATGATTACAGGGATACGTTTGCACGATACAAGCATGGTTTCTGAAGGAGTATTATGAAGCTCAACGCTGGAAGTCGCCATATTGGAAATGCTGATTTGACCTTATTTTCCCTGAAAGAGGCGGAGCTGAGGCGGGCCTTAAGCCTACTCGCACACAGCTACAAGGCGCCCAGATTTCAGGTTCCTTTCTACCTGTAGGTAGATTTGTTTTGCAGCTAGCGAGACAGTGACATGCAACATGACCCACAAATTAATAAACAAAAACAGCACGATTTGTAGATCTAGTCACCGTTTTGGATTTTTTTAAATGGAGTTATAAAAAGCTCTCCGTTCAGTTTTTAAGACATTATAAATGGATCCCATTGCTTTGGGGCCAGCCTCTAGTGGACACATGTGGAACTGCCTTTATTTGCACTTTTGCTTGGGCTTCATTTTTTCAACGATGGAGATTGCAGCTTAATAAAAAAAAAGAACAATAAAAGCTTCTTTTATCACCTAAAACTTAAAATATGGTGAGAGAAGCCTTCAATAAGTTCATTTATTTCACAAACTTATTTAACAGTCTGTCAGTAATCGTGCATCTTGTTTCCTTAAAGCTACTACACTGAGTTTTTAGGTGGGTATAAAACACAACAGCAAGAGAGATCATCAGCAACAAGATTCATTATTGCCGTATAGTAGTTTTTAAATCCTTAAAACATTTTCTGTGTCTGTACCTTTAAATATGTAAATGAGCTGTGTCTGACCACGCCCCCTCTCTGGAAGGGCTTTGGGTGTCTCGGTGCTTTCTCGCTCCATGTCCTATTGTTTACGGTGAGAAGGCAGACTCAGAGGGCAGAACAAACACCTAGCTGTGGGAGTGTCACCCACCTGGGGGAGGGGCTACTGCCCTTTGTGATGTCATGAAGGGAACATCTCCAAACAGCCTGTTTGAGCACACATTTTCTGAAAAGTGGAGCAGGGAAAAGACAGAGAGGAAGGACTTTTCTCATCGTTGGGGGGTTTGTAGACAGACTAGAGACTCATATTAGAGTCAGAGGAACATGGTGAAGTGTATTTTGCATCGTATGTGACCTTCAACATTTTCCATTGACATTCACTGAGCCATGTTTCCATCCAGGCAGCCATACTGTGTCTTTCTGTTTTCTTGACAGAAGTCTTAACCTCCTCAAAGATTTAGGTATCCTCATATTGTAAATGTTTTTTCTGTTTTACTCCACACTTGGATGTTTATCAAATGCACCTTGATGCACTTTATTTCACCTTGAACATGTTTGAATGTGATTTTAGACGACGTCTGCAGCAGCTTCTTTTAAAAACGAAATCCAAGTAGAACTAAATGTCTAAAACATTCCACAGAAAAAGTTCTTACATCTCGATACATTTCTGTATTTTCTGCAAGAAGAAAGTCATCTCCAAAGTCTCTGATCTCTGCTTTTGAGACACATGTTGACATGAAACTGTTGGAATAAAACTTTGAATTGTTTTTTTTTCTGCCGCTCATTCAAACCTCTCGATTTGGACATTTTATTTTTTCTGTATCAATGAAAAGCCTGAAACACCCACGCCGTCACCTCTGATCTCCTCTTGTTCCGCTCAGCTTTCATACACAGTCAAGTGGAGCTCGCATTCAAGTGAGTCAGCTCCAAACAAGACCGGAGTTTTTTTTTTTTCATTTACTGACACTTTTCAGTGTTTATTCCATCTTGTACCCAGACACAGAGTTGTTTTTTTTAGTCTATCTTTTTTGTCCTGATTCAAGATGAAATGCAACTTTCAGATATTTAAAGAACACTAACTTGTATGTGGACCGTCTCTTAAAACATTTAGTGTATATATTAAAGTGTGAGGCGATGTTAGGGTGACCATATTTTCAAACCTCAAAATCTGGACACTTTGATTTTTACTGCAAACACAGATCAGTGACCTGATCGCACGAGGTGGTCGGTAAAGGCGTCGTTTTTGAGCAGCTCCTTTAAGTTGGTTGTCAGCGGCGTTTGCCTCTCTGTAGTAGATCGTTACCAAACTACTTCCTGCGTTTGCTAGTGTCAACATCGCCATTTCCACCGTGGGCGACTGAAATCAGTCACCTGCAGTGTGTGCAAAACGCAGCATTTTCATTGGTTGGTACTTTTTGAAGGGAGCTGTAAATCGCCTGGAGCTCTTTGGAAATCGCTGACTTCCTTCTGTCTACCTGTCGTTACACAGCCGGTCCTTAGCAACAGTTTCAGCCCCGAAATTGATTGACACACGCTCAAGAAAACATATTTATATTTTCATTTCATTGTACAGTGTTCCCCTTTGTTATTTTTTGTATTATATCTTTTCTTTAATACAGTGTATAGCTTCTGTACAGTTTATTTTAATTTACTTAGCTGTCACTAAAACGTATTAATTTTATTTTTTTTATTTTATTTGTACTTTTCTTCTCTTCTTTTCTTATAATGATATTCTATTTTATATATAATTTTAACTTTTTTGTAGAAGCTGACTCAGGGAGAAACACACAAAAAATTCCAATGTACCTGTACTGTCCTGTACCTGTGCAGATGGCAATAAACATCTATTCTATTCTCAGATGAAATCAAAGTTGCAAGCACGGTGGATTGTTTTGGTTGGTTAATATCAGGACAGGGGAAGCTAAGCACCGGGACATATTAGTGTTTTATAGACATTTATGGGGACTTGGGACAAGGAGCTCAAAAACAGGTCGGTCCCAGTCAAATCGGGGTGCATGGTCCCTCTATAGACTCTGTTCATCTACCTTTTAGTCAGCAGCTGATTGGTTACTGCGTCAGTGTGAGGACAGTAACCCGTGATGTCACACTGGTTTTCCTCTTCATGCTGCTCTGTGCAGGTTTGACTTTGAACCTTGTGAACCATCGTTTCTAATGTGGAGCGCAGAAACAGAGCAGAGCCATAATTAGAGTGAAGGCTGTCACACTGGCCTCTCTGCAGAGACACACACACACACACACACACACACACACACACACACACACACACACACACACACACTCTCTCTTCATCATGACTGAAATGGTTTCTGTCAGTGATGGAATAATCTGCAGCATCCTGGAGGTCTTCAGCTCTGACTGAGCACTTCCTGTCTCCTACTGAGGTTCCTTCTTTGAACCACTTCCTGTTCTCTTTGACTGCTAGACCTAAAAACAATCCCACTGTTTAGTGTTTTCTCTCACATGCACCCCCAAACATTTCAAAAACGTTTCAGGACACTCTGCCCCTGAGATGTTCCTGAGTTGCCCTTCACACAGTTCACTCAGTGTGAAGACTTCAGACAGAAGAGGTGAAGAGTCTCAGGAGACGAGGTATGAAAAGGACGTCCTTCAATGTTGGACTTAGCGACAGGAATCACTGTGTAATGTTTCAACGTATCCATGGTTACGTACAAAGCCACAGAGTCTGACACTACAGTATAATGACAGTTTTGCAGAGATGGTAAATGTGACCAAGATTTCATTTCTACTCGTCGTGAATCGAAGCGTATAACCGTCCATTTTGTTTACTGAACTTGACCTCAAATGACCTTCATTTTAATCCAAGGCCCTTCAGATTGGATCGAGTTACCGATCTTCAACATGTCAGTTTGTTTACGTTTGTTTATGTTTGTTTATGTTTGTTTACGTTTGTTTACGTTTGTTTATGTTTGTTTATGTTTGTTTATGTTTGTTTGTTCCTCGCTGAGCGGAGGTCGATGGGTGTAACTGTACCGACTTGTAGCTCAATAAGACCAGATGAATGTGTTGATGCTGGTTGCAAAATGTAACGTACACGCCTCGCTCCATCAATCATGTGATTACAGCAACCACACACACACACACACACACACACACACACACACACACACACACACACACACACACACACACACACACACACACACACACAGCTCAGTCTTGTTTCTGTTTGCAGAGCTGAACTTTTCTGTCTCTTGAATGCCAGAGTTGTAACTTGAGATACTAGTAAACATTAAAATGTCAGTTCATAACTTTTACATGACGTCACACAGTTGTTGAAAAGCCCGGCCGCTGCACGCTATGCAGAAGTTATCGGTCCCGGCGTCCACCTATGTGATGTAATGCACGTTGAATGTGACGCTCTAACCGACCAGGAGACGCGCT